ATTCAGCAACAGAAAATTGCAACTCATTTGAATTGTTTCGCCTTCATTATGCAAATGTCGAGTTTTTGCTACGAATATTTATTTGCTTATTATAAATACATAAATATAATTGAAGTCCAGCCCTCACTTTCTATATGTCAAGCTTAAATTTTCGGCTTCACGAATGATTTTATAAAGAACGCATTTTCAACTCATGCAAACATTTTGTATACATTGAAATGTAGCTATAATTTTTCAATAATTTTTATGTAGAAGGAAAATGCCGCCAAGGTAGCGATTAGCGATAAGTTTGAGCCTATCGGTAATCTTATAGCAAGCAGCTTCTGAGCGACAGCAACGTTTTCTTCAGTTACATCGGGCAATGCTGCCATGCATTGTCACTTGCCGAATTAGTGTACCAGACACAAAATTCAATATTCCAAACTAAATGAACAATAAAATCTTTTTAGCAACAGTAATTTGATTTTTTTACTTTATTAATTTACTTAACAAATTAAAAGTTTTAATAGTTGCTTACTTTAACCTCTCATTTCAAATTATGCGCGCTTATTTCATTCCAGCTGTTTCGTGTGGAACGTATGCCAGCAAATAAATGAGCAATTACAATGCGCGCAAGTGAGACAACTAGTCTTCAAATCCGAAGCGCTGCCAGATACTTGCATTTAAAGCGCGTCATATCAAGCATTTAAATTTAACAATCAAATATCATATATAAAATCAACAATATGCGGCAAACTTTTGTTTCGAATCAAGACGATTTTCATTAATTTGTTTTAATTTGGCAAGAAGCTCATTGTAAACGCTATTCCCTGCCATTGTTAGCGTAGCATAACAGTCTGGCAAGGCCAATTCAAGACGAAAATGGCGAACACGAGCAAACCTCCGATGAACGACGAGTGGAAAAAATAATTATTATTTTATATTTCGTTTTGCCAGCGAAATTCCAACGCGAGTCAGCCACCAAAAGAAAAAAAAGAAAAAGTGCGAAAAACAAAAACAAGCAAACGCAAATTAATAAGTATGAAGCGAGCAAAGTGCAAGTCGATGTGCATTGATATGGTCCAGCTAAATAGAATAAATTAACTATTTTGCAAATTACGAAAAAGCAGCTGAAAAACCAATTGAGTCGAATGTGTGGCCACAACCGTGTGCGTACGTGAGTGAATGTGTGTGAGTGAGCGAGCTAGCAAACAGCAATAACAGCGTAGAGCACAAGATAGCAGGACGTACAGAAGCAGCAGCAGCAAATAAACGAAAGGAAATAAAAATAAACCACAAAAATTAACAGTGCAAAAAAAGGAGTACAAAATAAAACTTGGCGGTAAACTCTGCATGCATGCATGTATGCGTGCTTCACTCTCTCTTTCCCTCTCGCGTGTGTGTGTGTGTGCGTGTGCGTCTCAATAAAATGTGCACTGCCAATAAACTGGGCAACAACAACAACTACTACGACTAACGCACCGTTTACAGTAATCGTAATCTCTATGCGTGGACTACGTAATACGGCAACACGTAACGTAAGCAGCAAAGGCGGCAAAAAAGAGAACCAACAAAATATTCTACAATTAGACAACGTATTGCGTGCGTGCGCCATGTGTGCAACCAATTATGCAAAAGAGCAACAAATTGAGCAACTGTGGCAACGTCAGCGCTGATGTACATTTGCAACAGCCAAATTCAAAGCGCTAAATTTATATATAAATAGCAACAACAACAAAAAAAGGTAAACTACAAACAAAGCTACAACTAAAAATAAGAGAAACGTCGATTCAAGAAGAAAGCAAAAAAAAAATACTCATTTCAATTGGTTTCAATTGCGACAACGTTGAGCATTACATTTATTTACATGTGGCGGGGCAGGGATGTCTGTGCAAATTTCCATGCCACCTGCACATCGGCCTCACACACACACGTAAGCAGTCGGTCTCTCTCTCTAGTTTACTTCAAAAGATTTACCCCCGTCGTTGCTGTGCGACAAGAACAATAATAATCAAAACAAAAATGTTTAAAATCCATTTTCTTTGCTTCTTCACCCACCGCATCAACGCTGTTTTAGTCTGTCATTTGCCGTGTGCTTCTTCTTTATCAACTTCATACACAACACACACACATACACATTCACAAATACTTATGCAAGAGCCAACGTGCAAAACAGCTATCTCGCTTCCTCATGCATAATCAAAGCGCAATGAAGCGGCTGCCCAGTCTTAGCCGCACAGTGGGACAAGAAAAGATATGCTGAAAATCAAATGCCTTACCAATAATAAAAAAGATCAAATACAGTTATTAAAAGGGAAACTGTAAATTAAGGCATATCAAAAAGTATTTATATAAAAATAATAATTCGAATTTCCATAGTTGTGTACCACAGTGCATACCCACACTTCATGATATATTTTTAAAATTAAACAAAAATAACAACCGTGTGCACTAATACTGAAATTCCAGACTTGGGAATAAGGGAAAAATGGCGGTAAAATTACATAATGTGAGAAAATTTATATGCTCAATTGAAAACTGTGTAGGGCAACAGGCACAAATACGAACCATAATAGCAACAAATATTCAAGAGCAAACGAAAAGCAAAAAAAAAATAAAAGAAAAGCAGTTGGCAAACAAACATGCTAAGGAAAACGACGATGCAAACAAAGGCTCCAAAAGGCGGCAACTTGACTACTCACATGTGTGTGTGTGTTTGTGTGTGTGTGTGTGTCGAACACAGCGAGCAACAGGGGACTAACAAACAATAGTAAAAGCGAAAAACAAAAAAAACGTGAATTGGTCGCGTAAATGGAGACCAAGCAGAAGCAGCACAAAAACAACAAAAGGGAGCATAAAATGCACGACTGATTATAGTTGCTCTCTTTCGCTCTCTCTCTCTTCTCCAGTGGGTGGGAACACTTTACAGTTGAAGCTGATAAGAGCATGGATGGATTGCAGAGTTAATGCGATTCAAGTTTTATGTATAAGTTATTATAATTATAATAAATATAATCTTAAATGTAAATACAAACAATATATTTAGGAATGGTTTTCACAACAGTTGAATGATAAGCGATTTTTTTTTGTATAATTCCCATTTCTGTTTAGTTCCCAATGGCGTGCTACTAGTTACTTTTGCATGTGTCTTAAACAGCGTACTATCCTTAAGGGCAGCACACTGAGGTTAAAAGCAGAAAGCTATGCGCAGCAGTCATTAAAGCTGCAAGTCAATGTTGGCTTTGTACCCTGTCCTTTATTTTTGCTGTTGCTGTTGTTTGTTGGGTTTTGTTGTGCTTGGGCTTGTCTGTGTCTATGCCTATGTCTAGGCCAAGCTCCCTTTTCCATCCCCTTCTTTTGGCAACGAGTTGCACGTCGCCTAAATTCTATTAACTGCATTGGTTGTTGCAGCCAGGCAACAGCAGCAGCAGCAACATCATCCTTTTCAGCATTCCTATTTCTCTTTTTTGTTTTTGACAATATCAGCGTGCAACAACTACACAAACATGACGTTGCACTGAACGTGCCATTGAAATCCGTAAAAAGAAGAAGATAAACAACAACAAAAGTAACAACAAAAATAAAATAAAAATAAATATATAAATGTAAAGAGTGTAAACTGCTCGAGTCAAACTGAAACTGGTTTCGGTTTTCTTTCTTTCTGGCCAGCAGCAGGCAGTATTTTACATTTTCATGTACGAAACTAAAAAACTTTTCTGAATTGAAGCCACGAGCGAGGCACCAACGCATCAAGGCTCTGACAATGGGCCACATGCAAAGAGTTTTATTGCAAAAATATAGCAAACACAAAGCGAGATGTGGCCAAGAGTTGAGCGCGCAATTAAATTGTATTCACATCTACTCGGCTGTCTCCGAATGTAGACAGGAGAAAACACGCGTTTTTTTTTTACAATAATATGCTTAATTCCCGACTGCTGCGAAATATGTGTAAATGTGTAGAATGTTTATTAAAAATATATATCCTAAAAAAATATTAAAATGATCTATATAAAAATATAAAATTATAGATTTGAAAAAAAGGGCTGATTAATTAGATGTCTCGGAAATTGTTTTAAATACGTACAGTAGATGTAGGGGAGCAGCTGCCCCTCCCTGTATACGCCTTTGATTACAGATTGTAAAATTAATAGAGGTTTTTACAAGGATCTTAGTAAGATAATGCTAATAAATGCAATAATAAATCTTAAGATAGCACAATGGAATATCACAAATAAATACTTTAATAGACTAAAAGCAGTTTTACGTACATTTTCAACGCTTTTCAAAGATACTTTACATTTCTGTTTAAGATTAAATAAGATGATGCCAAATAATTATCTTTATTGTTCTTAAAAAGTCCATTTATTTGAGTTCTTTTGAATGACAGGGTATCCACAAGTCGACTCCACACACTCAGCAGAGTTTACCTGTTTTATATTTTTTTTATTTGGGAGGCATATACTTTGTGCAGCTCTGTGCGCGCCGCTTGTAATGCGCCGCACAATGGACTCCTTTTACAACTCTTGCCCCAGCATGCGGCTGAGGCGACTGTGCTGTTAAAAGCTGCTCAGTCGCAACTGGCGTTGCATTTGGTATGGAAGCTGCCAACGGTTGCAAGTTGCAGCAACGGACTTGCGCTATTCGTGCGTTGCGCTTATCGATCAAAGTTTACCCTGTGAATAATTAATAATTGCGTATTTAAAATGCGCTCAGTAAACACACCGAAAACGAAAACGAAAATAGCAACAATTATTATTGTGGTGTGTGTGTGTGTGTGCAGCTCGTCAACTATTTAAAAGATTTTTATCAGTTGTCATGTAACTAACGGTATTTGCATTTGCAGCGTCGCAGCCACCAGCAGGACGACAGCGCCAACGTCAGCGTCGTCGCCGTCGTCTTAGCACGGAGCACTGTGCGTGTTGACCACCGCAGGGGAAGTGCGCCAGCAGCGAAGGAGAGGAGAGGGAGAATAACACAAACACAAACAATAACAAACAGCAGATAAAATAAATAATCCAGTGAGCGAGTGACAGAGAGAGGGACAGAGAGACACTCTCACAAAATACAAAATGGCTGCCGTGCGGGGTCATCAATACTTTAGCCTGCGCTGGAATAACTATCAGAACACGATGACGTCAGTGTTTCAGCAGCTGCGCGAGGATCTCTCCTTTGTCGATGTAACCTTGTCCTGTGAGCATGGCTCGCTCAAGGCGCACAAGGTGCGTATGCGCACTAGTTGCGATTGTTGATATTCAAGTTATCGATATATATATAATTATCGTACTATTATTATTTGAATCCACAGGTTGTTTTATCCGCCTGCTCAACGTATTTCCAAAAGCTGCTGCTCGAGAATCCATGCAAGCATCCAACGATCATCCTACCCGCCGACATCATATTCACAGACCTTAAAACAATTATCGATTTTGTGTATCGCGGCGAAATCGATGTGACCGAATCAGACTTACAGGTGAGTGCAGCTGTTCACAGTCCAATTCACAGTTCAACTACAAATTTCATAAAATAATAAAGTAGCCCTTGAGTAACAGTAGTGGAAGGGATCACTTGCTAATGCTATAAGTCATTTATAAGTTTATCAGTCGAGAGTCTTTAGCCACTGACACCCAATTGAAATACATAAATAAGAAGAAGACACTTGTAAAGTTAAGATTAAGATTTTTAAAGAAGTTCTCCTGATTATAGCAATGGCCAGCAGTGTTTGACTGCTCCGATTTCCCAAAAATTTATTAAATATTATGATTCAATTTGTTGCCTCATTTTTTGCTCAAGATGCTTTGGTTCCCAGTCCCAGTGCCAGTTGGTCAACCAGCTCGAAATAACTGTTGTATTTATATAAGTAATTGGAAATCAATATCGAATATTTTCGACGTGTAAGAATGCTGCTCGACTGCGGCATACTCTCTAACGCGGCTAAACAATCTTTAAATATATTTTTTCCTTACCACCGATATCTTGACCAAATACACTTTGGTTATGAATCTAGTATTATCTACATATCCCAAATAGATATTAAAAATGGGAACTCTGTTAAATAGTTCATATAGTACAAAGATTAGATTCTATTTGAACGTGCTGTTTTATAATAACTCAAGCAAAGCGCTAAATATATATGACTTGTGAACTTTGGCAAATACACTGCTAAAGATAAGCACTGATAATGATGAATTTCATTCCAGTTGATATCAATTGTTTTCATAATGTTTCCTAATCTACTTTGAACCCAGTGAACACTTTTAATAAATATCCTTCAAATAGTAGCTAAAATGAATGAAAATTAAATTATTATTTAGCTCACTGATTTTGTATGGGTATTTATTCTCTGTGTATGTTATCGCTTTTGAGATATTTATATTTATATTTGCTATTGTAGCTTGTCTCAAGTAATTCCATGTGGATATTGCATCCATATATGTTTAATACCTCTGAGTCGCACTTGTTGTTGTTGTTGCCGCTGCTGCTTTTATCTTTATCAATTCCATCTATACATATATATATATATGTGGTCAGTGTATGTGTGGCAACTATTTATATGTGGTATTTACATAGGCGTTCCGCACCTTTTGCTGTCTGCTCATACAAATTACCACCTTCTAATCTGATTGACAACAACAACACACAGATGTGTATGTGTATGTGTGAGTGTATGTGTGAATATTCTTTTTTAAATTGATCACCAGCAGCAGCAGCAGACAAATAAACCACACACACACACTGACAAACTAAATACACCCACAATTATTATTGGCCAGGGTCGTTATCTTCAGTGTACAAAGGTTTTTAAGCTCTCCTTTCTCTCTCTCCTGCCAGCTGTCCTCCTCTCTCGTTTAACTCTCGCTGATTTCATTTATGTTGCTGCGCTCTTTTTGCATTTGACGAACGCACGCCATTCATGGTAATTGTCATTTGTGCGCTTCATTAACTGTTACTCTTGATTGTTGATTGCAGTTGTTGTTGTTGTTGTTGTTGTTGTTGTTGTTGTTGTTGTTGCTGTTGTCGTTCTTTGATAAAGAATGTGAGCAGATTTTAATTAATATTGATTTTCATGCGATTCTCTGCTTGCTGGCTGCGAGTGTAGCAAATGTTATTGCTTAGTTTTATTCTTGCAGCGTCAAACGTTTTACTTTATCATTTGCAACCCATTTTCAAATTACATCCTGGCCCATCAGCAAAGAAACAAACAAGGTATTGATATCAAACAAAATGTAAATATAATTTATAAATTCGCCGATCAAAACGATTAACGAATCTAAGTTTTGTAAATAATTTAACGAAAATCTTACTTAACGCAATAGCTTAGTTAATGCTGCAACCACGTTGAGCCAAGACACCAACCGGTGCTTACAGTGGTGGCTGGCATTAATGTAACATGCTTCAGCATATTAGCGCGCTCACTCAATGCACACGCGAAGCCAGCCGGCTTGAGCAAAAAAAAATGAAAATAAAAATAAAAAGGAATGAAAAAATACACTCAAACTCAAGCAGACGCAACTCAAACGTCTGCCGCCCACCCTCGCACACAGTCGTAAGCGTTGAGCGCTGAGCCATTGGCTTCAGACGGCGACTTCCCATTCATGCTGCTGCAAGTTTTGCTTTTGCTTTTTTTTTTTTTTGTCACAAACGTGCGCTCCATTTTTATTTTCGCTGCAAAAGTTTGCCGGCCATCTGTGAGAGGCCGCCTCTCTCCCTCTCCCTTTCGCTCTCTGTCTAGGTCCAATAAGGTGGCAACTATACAGCTTGTGTTTGTTTGTATCTCTTTCGTCGTCGTCGTCATCGTCGTCGTCGTCGTCGTCGCCGTTGTTTCTGCACATGTTCTTGGAGTTTCGCGCTGACTCCTGCTCTCGTTTCTCTTTGCCCACCACTTTATGTATAAAAGTTTTTTCGCCCATTTTTATTTTCTGTCTCGCTGCTATATTACTGTTGTTGTATTTGCCCTTGTACTTTTAAAATATATATGTGTGTGTGAGTGTGTTTTTTTTTGTTTTTGCTGTTGCTTGTGCGTTTCGACGTCGCCGCAACTTCAATGGCGTCGCTTTGTATGTGAAGCTTTGCGAAACGTCAACGTTGACATCGCTTCGTCTTCTTGCCCAGCGCCTGTTGTGTTCTTCTTGTTGTTGTTGCTTTTGTGCTTTTGCATGGTGGCCCCCTTTTTTTTTTGTAGGTTTTGGCGCGTCTGCATCGCCTTGAAAAATTTTTGTATGGCTGCTGCTGACTGCGACTGGACCTCAAACTGGACTTTGGCTTATGTGTGTGTGTGTTTCGTGTTTCGTGTTTTTGCTGCTATTGCTTGCTCTTTCGCACGCGGTAGTCACAGTGCCTCTACTTTTAAGCTTAGATTCGATTTTTGCCCAAGCGTTAATTATGCTGGGCACTGCTTGGAATTGCGCCTTTAGGTAAATGAAATGTGGTCAAGCGTTCTCTGTCTCTCTTTCTCTGTCTCGTTCTTACATACATACATATTGCCGTTACACATGTAGCTATTTTTATGTGAGTGAACATGCATACATATGTACATGTATGTATGTGTGCATATGGCGGCACCCATACTTACACACACACACACACACACATACGTGCATGCATAGCATGTCTACGACAACGGCGACGACGCCATGTGCTTTGGCTATATTTATTGTATGCTGTTTTTCTTTTTTACTTTTTTTTCTTTCCTTTGCATGCCAACACTTGAGGGTCTTCCCAACGCGTTGCCCGTCGACTGCCTGCCTGACTGCCTGCCTTGCCTCGCCCCCATCCCCCTTGTTGTTGGCCCCATTGCATGTCCACCTAACCCTCCTGCACCTACCCCTCCTCCTCTTCCTCAGCCCCCCTGTGCCATCAGCGTCACCTTTATCTTCGGCCAACTATGTGAGCAGCTGAAACTGACACACACGAACGCAGCAGAGCATCAGCAGTCGCAGCGACAGCAGCAGTGGCAGCGGCAGCAGTGCCACCAGTGGTAGCAGCAACCCAGTTAATTGGGGGGGGTGGGCGGTGTGCTATTGGAGACATTGCTGGCAAAGGCACACCCAACAGCACTCAGCAGTACACACAGCAGACTCACCCTCTTCTTGGTCTGAGAAGGGGATGGGGGGGCAGAGCAACCACTTGGCTTGCATTTTTTCCGATTTTTTCTTTCATTCTTTCTTGCAAACAATTTTTATTTTCTGTGCAGAATTCGTTTCGTTTTTTTTTTCTTTTCTGCTCGGCTTGTTGGCTCTCTGAGTATTTTTTTGTGTTTTGTTTTGTTGCGCCCCGCAGCACGTCGCCAAAGTGTCTCAATGTGTGTGTCTGTGTGTGAGTGTGTGTGTGTGAGTGAGAGCGCGCGCTTTAGCTTGCCACTTTGAACTTTTTGAAGGAAGCAGCAGCAGCAGCAGCACAGGACGACCGTTGCTGAGCTGTGCTGAGCGAAAAGGAGGCAAAGTAAAACGAAAAAAAATTCCAAATTGAGTGAAGCGCAAAGAAAAAATGCTTGCGTGTGTGTGTGTGTGTGAGCAACAATGGCCCATCGCTGCTGTGTGTGTGGACTCGGACTCGTAGTACACTTTCATTCTCAGTCCTCGCTGCTGCTCCAAGTGGCTGACCCCCCGACCCCCTCCCCACCCCTTGCGTTACCTTCGCTGCTGGTGCTGCTGCTGCTACGATGGACGACGCTGCGTCTGTCCAGTTCTGTCATGCATTTTTTTTGTTTGGTTTTTTTTTTTTGCAACTTTTCGTCCTGTTTCTTGTCTTCAGATTCGCCTGCTGGCCAGGCGGCTATTGTTGGTGTTGCTGTGGAGAGCCCATTTTTTCCTTGTGGCTCACTGTTTTTGCTGCACAGTGGTGCAAGGCCTATTATTTTGGAAACAAATTAAATGATTTGTAATACATTTATTTATATGATACATTTATGTTTGCATGCAAATGTTGTATATTATTATTATTTATTTTAATTTATTTAAACATATGAATTTTGTTTGTTACTTTTTATCAATCATAATCACTGAAGTCCTATATATCTATTATATATGTATTATATAGCAATTCCTACACTTGTTGTCCACACACACAATCTAATCAAGCAAAGAAAAGGAAAACGTATAAAATAAAGCAATAGTCATCAATTGTTGCAATTTTATTTTGTTTGTTTTGTCGCTCGAGTTTTCCATTGTTTTTACTGGTTCCGCTGGCAGCGACTAAATCTGCCAACTCATGTTCCATTCCCTATTTTCTCATGTCCCCATTCCCCCTTCCCCGTCCACCCCCCCCCCGCGACATACAACACAAATCATGGCCACGCGAATTCATCTACAGTTAATGGGCGTACATCGTCGCAGCATTTGGTGGCCTGGTCAGTGTTGGTCATTTTCTAAGGGTGTTATATACTTGGGAACCCCACCATCGCCATCATCACCATCATCATCATCATCATCATCATCATCATCAGCAGCAACCTCACAAACCCTACCAACAACT